CCACTAGACACCCCAGGTGCTTCATCACCAAGTGAAGGCCGTCTGTCTACAATCTACGAAGAAAATGAGGAACATGACATAGAAACTATGATGATCGAGGAGTGGTACGATGAGTTACGTCTGGACCTTCATCCCACAACGACTACCGACGATCATCTCTACTGCGTCCCAACAACCATGCTGCCCGACCAATGTGTTCTGGTCTCAGCATCCGTGGACGAAGAAGATACCGTAGTGTCGGACATGCTCGGAGACGAGCCCGAACCACAAGAGCCTTGTCTTGCCTCCCTATGCTGAACTACACCTGACGAGAGTTATTCTCTTGACAGTGACGAACATGGTCTTTATGTTGAGTTATGTTTTACACCAGAAATGTCAAAGGTAGTGTTGGATCAGACTCAACTTGCACAGCTCGACACTGACATGGTCGCAACGATGAGAGTGTACGTATCATCGGCTGCTAAACGTGCTGTGGTAGTTAAGGAAGACGACCTACTCACCAAAGCCGACATAGCAGCACACCCTACAGAGGTTAGTGAAGTTTTGTACACCGAACTCAAGATCTGGCTTGATAGCCGGTGCTTTGAAATGTATGACCTATCTAAAGCTTCCAACATCATGATATCCAGATGTGTATACAAGTGGAAGTTTGTGAAGGTAGGCACCGAGAACGTTAAAACCATCAGTCTCAGACTCGTCCTTCGTGGATTTATGGACACGGAGGCGTTCGATGTGGGAACCTTTTCAGGAACTGCTCGAAGGCAGTCCCAGAGGCTCCTGGCAAGTGAGGCGGCATGCCATCCAGAATGGATCTTAGCATCCATGGATATCGATCAAGCGTTCCTTAAGGGTTTGACCTATGAGGAACTTGCTCATGCCACCGGCGAGGAAACTCGCATGGTTTGCTTCACTCTTCCACCAGGAAGCGCCCAGGTACTTCGTACATTGCCCGGCTTCTCCTCTTACAATGAAAGCCGACACTGCCTCAGGTGCCTCAAGCCAGGGACGGGTACAAAGGACGCCCCAAGAGCGTTCTCCCTCAAGCTTCGTACGACCACACGAGCTATAGGCCTTGCACCGACAAGCTATGATCCTGAATTTGAATTCAGTCAAGATCTGTTAACAGCAAAACATGTCGACGACATCAACATGACAGGCCTAGAGTAAAATGTAGATGACTATGTGCAACGTGTCGAAAAGGTGTTTGGTAAATGCAAGCTCAACAAACATTCCTATACGAACTGCGCCGTTCGCTACACCAAGAATGACCAAGGGGATGTGATCATGGATCAGGACGAGTACATTAAACAACTACGTCCTATCACACGCCCCGAACTCACGGGAGCGGCGGCCGACGCCAAAGCCACCAAACTCATCGCCGACATGTTTGTCAGCCTGCGAGGAGCCCTCGCCTATGCCCTTCTTACTCAAGTCTGGCTCATGGTGTATGTGGTCTCTCTCCAGAAAGTTCAAGAACCCACCGACCTACAAGTCAGACGACTGAATGCTGTGACGCGAAAGCTGATCAGCGGCCCGAAACGCACCACCTCCCCTCGGATGAAACCGACGAGCGAAGTTGATATACACTGTGATTCGGGGTATCGGAAGTTCACCGGGGAGGAAGACGATGATACCAAGGGCTACTGCATACGCGGGGCTAACGTACTACGGCGAGGAAACTCGCCTCAAGGCAAGCCCGTCGTTCACCTTTGCGACGGACTATGTAAATCACATCGACTGCAGGTGAGGTCCAGCTATGCCGCTGAGGCACTTGCAGCTGCACACAACCTTGATGAGTGCTACCCTACACTCATCACCCTCCACGAGCTCAAGGCAGGGGCCCTGGCTCCACGGCAACTACGAGATATGCGTGAAGTTGGAGGCCTAGCTATTAAAGTATCCCTTACCATAGACGCTGAGTCTGTATACATATCGTTATCCAGCAAAGGTCTTAAGATACCGACGGAACGGACTTTGCTGGGACATATCAGCTGGATACGTGAGCTCATGGATATAGGTATAGTGCATAATTTGCAGTGGTGTGATACTAGAGATATGACCGCAGATGGGCATACAAAGGGGAGTATCGATCGGGAGCTGCTTTTGGAAGTGATGTCAGGTGCTCAGTCATGTAAGTATGACGTGAATCAGTTTGTTCCTTTTCGGGGTCCCGAGGACAGAAACAAGCCTAAGTCTAATCAGTTTTAGTATGTCCCTGTTGCCCCCCGCGGTCCAGTTTGCCAGCGTGGGCGCCTAGTACAGAGGCGCCCTTCTAGGTGCTCGGAAACGAGCCTAACATTTCACGCTTGGTAACGAGCCTGTTCAGATTGATTCAGGCTCTTTGCCTTAATACCCGTTTGCTCGGAGAGGTATAGCCTGTTTGGCTTACCTCTAGCCGGGCCGATGGCCCTTTGATGTCCAAGGGGCTATCTCGTATCTGCGTGAAATGATTTGCGAGGAAACTCGCCTTACAGTCTGGTGTTAGGCCAGACTGTACGCGCTGTTTTTCTTGCAAACAGTCGTGCGCGCGGCCTTTGTAGAGCCTAACGGCTGCGCGGCTATACTCACCGTCTCCTCCCCTCCCGACTTTAAGGGTAGCTCTTTGGGAGATGTTATATAGGATCGGGAGTATAGCTCGCGCGCCGTTGCCTTTGGCTCAAGGCACGCGCGCCCTATTTGCCCGGACACTGCTTGTGTTCGCTATGTGCTGGAAAGATCATTACATCGATCTTATCCTATCTTATCCGTCCATTTCTCTTACTGAACCACCTCAGTACGATACCGGACGCTATCTGCCATCCGCTTCCCATGGAACTTCCCATGGAATCGGATGCTATTTGACTTACCATAGTCACTTCAGACTCCATGGCCTTTTTGGGTCTGTGCTGGGAGCCATTGGGGGGTCTCTTGGTTCCATTATGGGCTGTCTTGGGGCTCTCGTGGGCGATCGTGGGTCCCGGCTCTGCCGTCTTGAAGCTCTCTAGGGGGCCTTTTGGGGCGTCTGGAGGCGATCTCGGGGGCTTTGAAACCGTCTTGAAAGCTGATGAAATCCGAAAGGCGAATATGCTAAAATTGTAAGTTTTACGAATGGAATGGGGCGATTTTTGTGCTTTGAACGCCCCTTGGGAAGCTTTTTGGGGTGCCTTGGGGGTCTTTTGGGCCGTCTTGACACAATTGGAGTCCCTCTTGGAGCGCTCTTGTGCTGTCTGGGGCCTCCCTTGAGCCTTTCTGATGACCCCTCGGATCGCTCTGGGTCTGCTGGCAAAGCGTTTGTGGAGCCCCGGAAAGCCAGCTGACCTTTTCCACGGACGTCCAAGGGAGCCCGAGAACCCCAGATCCCGGGGGTCCAGTTTTTTTTTGGGGGGGGGATGGTTTTCCCCCCCCCCCCCCGGGCTTGTAAAAATATCGGAAGAGGAATATGCACACATGTGTACACCCCCCCTCTGCTATGCCTCTTCCCTCGCCTCTCCCTCCCATTCGACGCTCCGGAAATGACTCGGAGCGGGGGGCCCTAGCCGGGCCTCGGGACCCTCAGCAACACCGCCTCAGGACGAAGAGCCGGCCCCAGGGAGGTAGGAGGTCCAGGCCGCGGGGGCCCACGCCCCGAGTGGCCGAGCGCGCCACCTGGCCTGGGGCGTGCATTCCAGCATCATGACAGACTCCAGCAGGACGAACGCGAGCAGCACCATGGACTCCACCAACAGGAGCGGCGGGAGGCCTGGGCCCCCTCTCGGGCTCCTCGCTCGTCGGCCCTGGGCCCCCCAGCTCGGGGGGCGGCCCGTCTCGCGGCGAAGCGAGGGTGAGGGACCCGTGTCCTACGCCGAAGTCGGGCGTGTCCCTCTACGGGAGGAGTGTTCAAGAGTGCGAACAAATAGTCTGAAGATTTTTTGGTGTGTTTATATTTAAGAATATGACGATTTCTGAGCTTGCTTTGACCATTTTCTGTTTTTTTTTCCCCCAAAATCCGCTTGTCGGAGGGCATGCCCGACCCAAGCGAAGTGAGAGTGAACGACCCGTGCCCTACGCACCTCACGCTTCACCACCCCACGGCCTGCGCAGGCAGTCTCTCCTTGCGGCCAGCAGGGGACCGCTCCCAGCAGGGAGTGGGCGTCAGGCTGCTCGTCCCCCGCCTTGGCTGCTTCCCTCTTTTTTCGGACCTCCCTGGCGTCGTGCTCTCACAGCGTGGGCCCCCGGAGGCCTGGGCCGCTTCCCCGGGGCGGGCTTCTCATCCCGACGTTCGGGCTTTGTCTGTAGATGCAAGGCCGGCGCCTTTTGAGAAGCAGCATCGTTCTGAGAAGCCTTCCCCCCTCCCCCCAGCCCCGTGTGCGCGCCGCCAAGTCAGGGTTCCCTGAGATCCGACGTCGCGCAGAAGATGCGGCACCGTTAAAACACCTCGACGGGAGCCCTGGGCCCTTTCGGAGGCACTTCGAGGCGGATCGCTCCGCCAGGGCCCCCCCAGGTCCGAAACGGGGCAGGCTCGCTCGTGGTGAACAAGTTGCGACGCCCGACAAGCGAGGGGGAGGGGGAACCGACAAGCTCCAGGGGGGTCACCGGCAAAACCCAGGGGGATCACCGACAAACCTCAGGGGGGCCACTGATGAGAACCTTCACGGGGGATCACCGACAAGCCCAGGGGAGACCCCTCCCTCACATCTGAACCACCGCGAGCTGATTCTCAAACCTCCCGACGCCCGAAATGGGTACGGAAAGAATGGGTACATTGCCCAGCAGCAGTTCCGGTTCATTTTGAACAGGACTCGCTGTCCGCGCCGCCGCGGCCTGTGTCCATTCGAGACAGAAGGCCGCCTGCCCAACAGCGGCCGCTGTTGGTTTGGGACAACATTTGTTGTTGGGCATTGTACCCATTCTTTCCGTACCCATTTCGGGCGTCCAAAAACCTCCCCCTTTGCTATCCCCCCCTTTCGCCCGCCGCCACTTTTCGTCGCTCACCTGGCGCCGACGTGCGGGCGTCGACGCCCGGGCGTCGTCGCACCCCGAAGGTCTACGACGCCTCCCGCCAGCTGAAGTCCCTGCTGACCAGCGAGGCGCTCGGCGCCCTGGCCCTCGAGGAGGCGAGGCGGCGCGCACGAGGGGGGCACCGGGGAAGGGGGGGGCTCCTCAGAAGCAGGCTGCTGCTCAGCGCCTTTTGTTGTTGTTGTTGTTGTTGTTGAATATTATTACTTCTAAAGAATAATTATTGTTGGGCCCCCTGGTGCACGCCCCCCTCGCCGCGCCTAGGCCGCAGCCACATTTTCATCATTTTCGTGAGGAAGTCTCAGGCAAAACGGGGGAGTCCGGATCCGGTTGTTTTGTTGACGCCCGCTTTCCCTGTCAAAAAACAATATAAAATGACATGTCTTGTTCTAACATAACCAAACTTCAAGAATCCTTTGCAAAAAATGACACGAAGTGCACACTCGCGCGCGCAAGATGAAATCCTTCCAAAACCTTAGTTTTCGTAGCGATTTTAACATAAAAACATGAAAAAACCCAATGGTTTTTCAAACAAAAAGTTTCAAAATTTCATCCCGCGCGCTCTTGCGGATTTCGTAGGAAACCCAACACTTTTTAAACATTTCTGTCAAACGGGCTTTTGCGAGCAACTTTTTCACGTGCTTCGAACTTCTGCAACAACGGTTGCGCACCTGCCAGGGCCATCATCCCTGTCAAATAATACCATGCGGGACACATTCGTTTTTTCTTCGCGCGCGCACGCCGAAATCTTCAAAAACCACAGGTGTCCAGTGTTGGAACAGGGGGAAAAGTCGTATACTAAGCTAGCGTCCAGAAAATGTTACCACAACAAGTCACTGTACCCATGCGCCAGTGTAGTAGCCACGGTCGTCCGCAGGCCACGAAGTGAAGTGTCCGAACGTCATAGGGCGGGAAGCTGGGTGTGGGTGGTGGCGAAGAGTCGTTTGGAAATGTGGTAGAGCTTGAACCGGCCCCCCCACAAAGTGGGGGTATTGGCGGGCGTCGTATGAAAACCCTGGCACTGGTGAGAACGGAGTGTCCCCACGTGCTAGTAATTGTTGTTGTTGTTGTTGTTGTCGTTGCTGTTTATTTATTGTTTCCATATATATAACATTATGTTAACACAGTTTTTATAGAAAAATTGTTTTTTGCTGTAATGTTTATATATGTTTTATGTATTTACGTATTTATGCATTTATTCATTTATGTATTTATCTTTATATACAAATATTTAAGTATAAAAATGCTTTCGGTGAGCGGACTGCCTCTGCCGTCGCCGCCGACAACGGCGATAACGGCCGTGGTCGATAACGGCCGTGGTCGGCCCTCCCCCTCTAGGCCTCCCAGAGATGGTGTCGTAGTCGATGGGGTCGGAGGATCGCGCCGCATCGCCGATGCATCGACGATGCGGCTCGATGTGGAGCCCGATTTGCTTCACGTCGACGCCGCCAATGCATCGCCGACGTCGGCGATGCATCGCCGGTGCATCGCCATCGCCGATGCATCGCCGATACATCGCCGATGTATCGGCGATGCGGCGCGATCCTTCGACCCTATCTACTCCGACCCCATCAGGGAGGCCTCTACTCCCTTCCCCCTCCCCCCCCTGGATCACGGCGCGCTATTTTGCCCACAAGTGCAAAGAGATTCCCTACGGATTCTTCGAGGATCCCCCGAGATGTCCGGCGGCCCCCCGCCGTGATGTGGGCGGGGGGCACGAACGCCCCCCCCCGCTCCCCCGATCACGCCCGGTATCGCGAATAATGAAAAACAGGCTCTTAGACTCTTAGCAGGCGCCGGCCGTACATCTACAGACCAGGCTCGCGCGCTCCAAGAAGCAGGGGCGCTTCCGAGGAACTTCCCACCGAGGTAAAGGATCTGGGTCGGCTCGGGGAGGGTACCCTGATGTTCTTCGTGCTTGTTGGATGCTCTGGTGCATCCCAGGGAGGGTACCCCTGGATGTTCTGTGTGTTTTGGCCGGTGGAGGGTCTCATGCTTTTGAGGGATGCTCTTCTGTCCTAGGTCCCCCCTCTGCTCGTGGCTGGGAGGCAGACGTGCCGCAGCCCGAGGACGACCTGGGCCAGGAGGCGGCGCCCGCGCCGGCCAGGCGCGCCTTGGGTTCCCTCTCTGCAGGGGCAGCGCTTTGGGGGGGTCGTCTGGGCCTCCCAGAAGGGGGGGTGTAGGTTCGAGAGGTGCTCGGTTCGACATTTCTTGTTTTGCCCCGTGTCACAAGGATGGGGCCCGTGTGATTACCTCGACCGCGCCGACTCCTTCCACCACCTCTTCCTCCTCCTCCTCCTCCTTCTCCTCCTCCTCCTCCTCCTCCCCCTCCTCCTCCTCCTCCTCCTCCTCTTCCTCCTCCTCCTCCTCCTCCTCCTCCTCCTCCTCCTCCTCCTCCTCCTCCCCCAAAGTCACACTCTGGGTCACGACTTTGGTTTCGGTATGACGATGATGATAACTGCGATGATGATCGCGATGGTGATGCTGATGACCATGATGAGGATGACGATGATGACGATGTCGATGATGATGATGGTGATGATGATGCCAATCTCGGTGATGATGATGGTAATGATGATGGGAAGGATAACAGTGTTGATAATGATGACGATAATGATGATGATCATGATGATGACAGTGATGCCGATGATGATCGCGATAATGATGCTGATGATGATGACGATGACGATTACGATGATGATGACGATGATGATGCTGCTGATGATGATGAGGATGAACATGAGGATGAGGATGAGGATGATGATGATGATGATGGTGGTGATGATGATGGTGATAATGATGATGATGATGCTGAGGATGATGATGACGGTCTGGATGAGGATGAGGATGAGGATGAAGATGAGGATGATGATGATAATGATGGTTATTATGATAATGATGATGATGGCGATGATCATGGTGTTGATGATGATGGTGGTGGTGGTGGAGGATGAGAATGAGGATGATGCTGGTGATGATGATGATAGTGATAAAGATGAGGATGAGGATGATGATGATGAGGATGAGGGTGATGACGAGGATGTCCATGAGGATGACGATGATGATGCTGATGCTGATGCTGACGATAATGATGGTGGTGATGCTGATGATGAGGATGATCGTGTTGACCATGGTGATCATGCTGATGCATACGACGACGAGAACGACGACGATGACGACGATGACGACTCTGATGGCGATGATGGTGATGATGATGGGGGGGAGGAGGAGGAGGAGGAGGAGGAGGAGGAGGAGGAGGAGGAGGAGGAGGAGGAGGATCAGGATGAAGGGGAGGCGGAGGAGGAATCTGAGGCGGAGGTAGATGAAGAACAAACCAGGTACTGTTGATGGTGGTGACAACAATGATGATGGCATCAATGATGCTGACGATGATGTTGGTGATGATGTTGTTGATGATGATGGTGATGCTGATGCTGATGGCGATGATGATGGTGATGACGATGATGATGGTGATCATGATGATGATGACAACGATGCTGATGATGATGGTGGTAGTGGTGACAAGGATGCAGATGGTGATGATGATGAGGATGCTGATGCTGATGCTGATGATGATGCTGCTGATGAGCAGGATTGTGGTTTTGGTGATGATGATGATGATGGCGGGGCACATTTCGAGGATGTCTCGTGCGAGGCGCTGCTCATGATGATGATGCTGATGATGATAATGATGGCTATGATGATGATGCTGATGCTGATTCTGATGATGATGATGGTGGTGGTGGTGGTTGTGATGAGGATGAGGATGCGGATGCGGATGAGGATCACTATGATGATGACGACGATGATGCTGATGATGATGATCATGGTGGTGATGATGAGGATGATGATGATATGGATAATGATGATGACGATCATGATGAGAGGGGTAGTCGGAGGAGGATGAGGATGAGGATGAGGATGAGGATGAGGATGATGCTCATGATGCTGCTGATGATGATGCTGATGATGATGATGATGATCATCATCATGATCATGGTGATCATGCTGATGCATACGACGACCGTGACGACGACGATTTCGACGATGACGATGATGATGGTGAGAATGCTGATGACGATGGTTGGGAGGAGGAGGAGGAGTAGGAGGATGAGGATGAATAAGAGGCGGAGGAGAAGGTGGAGGACCAAATCAGGTGTTGTCGATGTTGGCGGCAGCAATGATGATGACAACGATGATGATGATGATGATGATGATGATGATGATGATGACTGTGATGATGATGACGATGATGATGATGGTGATGATGATGACGATGACGACGACGATGATGATGCTGCTGAGGATGTTGGTGATGATGTTGATGACGAGGATTATGATGGTGATGATGATGATGATGAGGATGCTGATGCTGATGATGATGCTGATGATGATGATGCTGCTGATGAACAGGATGGTGGGATTGTTGATGATGGTGCCAATAATGATGATGACACCAGTTGTGATGATGACGACGATGATGATGGTGGTGGTGGTGATATGGTTATGATGATGATAGCGGAGAAGATTTTGATGATGCCTCGAGCGAGGCGCTGGTTATGACGATGATGATGATGATGATGATGATGGCAATGATGTTGATGATGATGATGATGATGATGATGATGATGATGATGATGATGATGATGGTGGTGGTGATGAATATGATGATGATGATGATGATGATGAGGCGGATGATGAGGATGAGGATGAGGATGAGGATGAGGATGAGGATGATGGTGATGATGGTCATTTGGTGATGATGATGCTGATGCTGATGCTTATGCTGATGCTGATGCTGATGCTGACGCTGCTGCTGCTGATGATGATGATGATGATGCTGATGCTGATGATGATGATGATGATGATGATGATGATGATGATGATGATGATGATGATGATGGGGAAGTTTTTGAGGATGTCTTGGGCGAGGCGCTGGTTTCAGCACGCCCAAGGGGGCCAGATTGCGTTGATGTCTCTAGCGGTTTGCTTGGTTTGGTGGCCAGGTTCGTGTGCGTTCAGAGCAGATTCTGAGGATGTCTTGGGCGAGGCGTTGGTTTTCGTTTCCCTCACTCCTCGTCCTCCTCCTCCCCCTCCTCCTCATCCTCCTCATCCCCCCTCCCTCCTCCTCACACTCACCTCCCTCACACTCACCTCCCTCACTCCTTGGCGCCGGCTCCTCACACTCACCTCCCTCCTCCTCCGCCTCCTCCTCTTCCTCCTCCTCCTCCTCAGGGTCACTCAGGGTCGCTACTCATGTTATGGTGATGATGTTATTAGTGGTGATGCTGATGAGCAGGATGGTGGTGTTTTTGATGATGTTGGTAACAATGATGGCAACCAGGATGATGATGACTATGATGATGCTGATGATGACGATGCTGATGATAGCGATGATGATAGGGTATGATGATGATGATGATGATGATGGTGATGATGATGATGATGATGATGGCGGGGCAGATTTTGAGAATGCCTCGAGCGAGTCGCCGTTGATGATGGTGATGATGACGGTGATGATGATGCTGATGCTGATACTGATGATGATGCTGCTGCTGATGATGATGAGGTTGCTGCTGGTGATGATGATGCTGATACTGATGCGGATGCTGCTGATGATTATGGTGGTGATGATGATGCTGATGCTGATTCTGATGATGATGCTGATGCTGATGATGATGATGATGATGATGATGATGATGATGATGATGATGATGATACTGATACTGATACTGATGATGATGATGATGATGCTGATGCTGATGCTGATGCTGCTGCTGCTGATGAAGATGATGATGATGATGATGATGATGATGATGATGATGATGATGATGATGATGATGATGATGATGATGATGATGATGATGAATATTTTGAAGATGTCTTGTGCGAGGCGTTGGTTTCAGCACACCCCAGGGTGGCCGCCAGGGGGTATCTCACTCGTCCGTTCGCGCCCAGATTGCGGGGATGCCTCGAGCTGTTTCTCTGTTTGCGCCGCTTTCCGAGCAGATTGTGAGGATGCCTCGAGCGAGGTGTTGTTTTTCGCACGCCCAAGGTGGGGCGCCAGAGGGCATCTCACTCCTTCATTCGCGCCCGGATTGCCGGGACGTCTCGAGTGGTATGCCTGTTTGCGCCTTTAACATCCTCCGCTTTTGAGGCGCTGGTTTTCGCACCCCTGGGGGCCGAGATTGCGAAGATGCCTCGAGCGGCTTGCTTGCTTCGCTGGCCAGGCTCGTTGGCACGGATCCTCCCCAGGATGCCACAGGAGGCTCCACCAACCTGCAGGAAGCCCCAGGAGGCCTCAAGAGGCTTCAGGAAGCCACAGGAGGCCCCAAGAGGCTCTAGGAGGCCCCAAGCGGCTCCAGGAGGCCCCAGGAAGCACCAGGAGGTTTCAGGAGGCTCCAGGATGCTCCAGGAAGGCCACAGGAAGCCCCAGGAGGCCCCAGGAGGCCAGAGGAGGTCCCAGGACTCACCAAGAGACTCCGGGAGGCCCCACGAGGCCAGAGGAGGGCCCAGGAGGCCCCAAGAGGCCCCAGGAGCAGGATGACGTCTGTTCCTATATATTGGGCCTCCCCTGGAGCTCGAATCCTTTTGGTGTTTTACGTATGTTTCTATAGCTTGTCCTTCTCTTGTGTATCCAATTCTGTGTGCTTTGCATCTGTTCCTATAGGTTTGGCCTGCCCTGGGGCACGGATCCTTGGTGTTTTGCGCGCTCCTATAGACCGCCCCTCTCTTGTGGGTCCAATCCGAAGTGTTGGCCTCTCTTGGGACACTCCTGGGACACGGATCCTATATATTGGGCCTCTCCTGGGACACGAATCCTCCCCAGGAGGCCCCAGGAGGCTCCAGGAGGCCCCAGGAGGCCACACGAGGCCATAGGAGGCGTCAGGAGGCCACAGGAAGATCCAAGAGGCCCCAGGAGGCCCCAAGAGGCTCCAGGAGGCCCTACAAGCCTCGTCAAAAATAAGCAGCAGGCTTCTGAATTCGGTGATTGTGGGGTCAGCGCTACTCCAATGCTGACGGATTCCTGTTGACTCGGACGCGGTGTTGTCCAAAAACCGACCCCACCCTCTCAGCATTGAAGAACGCGCTTTCTGACAAGTGCCC